ATTGCCACCACTATTGCTGCTGTAGTTCGCCATTGCCACTACTGTTGCTGCTGTAAGTTGTCGGCATCGCCGCGGCAGCCTACAAGTGACCTCCTCCTCCTCCTCCTCCTCCTTCTTCTTCTTCTTCTTCTTCTTCTTCTTCTTCTTCTCTTCTAAATTCTCTTAGCAGTCGACAGCTTTTCAAATCTCTCATTTTCAAATAGCCAAACCTTATTTCTCTTATATTTATATGCATCTTATCTTAATATTCCAATCTAATTGGTAAGATGATATATCACCTCTCAACATATATAAACCTTCGAACTGTTTGACCTGAACGGTCGAACCATTGACCTAGAAATTGGTGATTAGAATAGTTCCGTTTTCGGCTTAGTTTTTAAAAACCTTGGATTTTAATTTCTTGCTAGTCTTGGAATTATGAAAAAGAAGTCAACATGTAGTTGACTCTCTTCAAGACGTTCCTCAGGATTGTCAAACTTCATGAGGAAAGATTATATGCGGCTTCCAATCCTTTTAGACTGATGCTTTCTTTGATTTGTGGTTTTGTTCTAGGTTCCGTTTCCTTGTGTTGTTAGGCAGGGTTAAGTGTGGAAAGAAATGCATTTCTTGTTTGAGCTCTAGGGCGAGGTGGGGCTTGTACTTTTTTTTTATAAAGGGTTAAATTAATAAAATTGTAAGGTGCTCCTCTTTCACTAGAGTAAAAACTTGGGGATAAAAGAATGTTTTTTTTAATAAGTTGGTCAATGTGAAAAAGACATATTCTAGCTTTGGATTGCATGTTTGTACCTATTGCAATTAAATATGTTTGGTAAATATGCAAAATTTGTGAACGCAAAACTAAACCAACTTTACATTTTCATGAATCATACACATTTGCATTTATATTCTTATTAAAAACTATCTTTACAAACAAACGGATGTGCAAAATTTGTATTTGATTTCAATTTGCACTGCAGAATAACAATGGAAGAAAATGTGGATTGGAACTTGAAATTCTCACACTACAACCTTTTTTGGAAGGCCTTCTCACATTACAACCTCATGCATTTGTACTAATGCAAATGAAATTACATGACAACAATACAGATGGACAGAAAGATGTCATTAACAATGTCATTTAATATTATGGCACGCACTTTGAGGGCAAAATTATAAAACAAATTTATTAAAAACAATTTCAATTTAGCAAGCGATTGCCTCTAGTTAGTCATTAGAAAAAAAAAAGCTATGGCCTCATTATTTTTATATAAGGTATATATAATTTTTTTCGGTGACTTAGGTTGTGTTTGGTATCATTGGCATTTCAGGCCGAAACATTTTGAGTAGTGTGGGTCAGTGGGTGGTGCAAGTTTCAACAGTTAGAGGAGAAACCTGTTTGGTTAGCATTTAATGTTTATAGTCTCAACAGCAAAGCTGACCAGGCGTTTATACTATGTGTTTGGTATTTCCTGTTTCACATTGAAGTGTTTAAAGTAAACTTTTTAATTTTACGTAATACCAATCACACTTCCAATTACTATTATGCCAATCTAATGGACAAGAATTTTCCAAATCTAGGATTTCATCAGATTTTATTTTTCTCCAATGTACATGGGTGTTATGCATGTAAATGTGTTATCAAGAGCATCAGTCTGCTTCAAGAAGAAGAAGACGATGGAGCTTATACAGTGAATAAGACTGAGGTTATATAGTTTTGCTCATGTGATACACCGGATCAATTCATCACCATGCCACATTGGATGACAGGTAAGTGCCATATCAGCTAAAACATTGTGAGATGCAATGGCTATTGGGGAAACCTCAAATTGACGTTTCCTCCAACGCCTGCTGCTATTTTCAACAACATTTTTTGAGTTAAAAGAATCTGAACTCTGAAGCAAATAAAAAATTCCCATTGCAATTCAAAATAACTAGGTGGTGCTGATGTGGTAGAGTTTTAGCTGGAAACGGCAAGGTATCAAATATACCCTTACTTTAACTTCGGAGGGTGATAGCTAAGTTGGTGAGTTCTAGGAGATCTTATAGCCTACTATTTAATCCTTCCTTCATCGTTTTATCTCCTGAAAAAAAGAGTAGGGGTGTGCAAGTCGGGTGGGTTGAGCCGGGTTTATGGTCAAATTGGACCCGACCCAAAAATTTGGGCTTAAGCCATTCGGGTTGGCCAATGAATCCACTCTAAAATTATATATAAATATGTATTTATGCAAATATGTATACATATGTGTGTATAGCTGAGCCGGGTTTGGGTTACCTAAGGGCTAGGCCTGAACCGGCCCTAAAAAATAAAAAAAAAGTCCAACTTCTTGAGCCCAAACCTAGCCCAAAATCCAAACTCATCCCGTGTAAAATTTCAGGCCAATTCAGGTTCGGGTTAGGCCCACCCAAATAGGACCCCTAAAAAAGAGACTTTGATTTTCTCGGAGATGCATTTGTTTTGTGGCTTTGGAGTGGAAGTTATATGAACAATTTTCTTTTTATCTTTTTTTTTTTTAAATCATATGAAAACGGACCTAAATGAAAATAGCAATCTCTATGATATTGGAAGAGTATTGATGTCGCACGATCCGGGCACTCCTAGCTGGCTGCTGACTGGCAACGGACGGCACCTGAGAAGAAGAAGGTGAAGGATTCCCGGGGGATTTGCCCTGTGGGAATACTCCGAAGCTTAAGTTAGAACGTTGGGGGAGAAAGTAAAGAGTGTAGGTCGCGCTAAATCACTGACTTCTTCCATATTAGCTCGAGAGCAAGTAAGGTGACTCAAAATCAGATTAGATCAGAGATCTCTCTCCCCTTCGACTAAGGGGCTTTTACAGGGGCATTCTTGTCAAATCGGGTGTAACCGCCACTAGGCTTATGTCGCAACCGTTACTTGCCAGGGCTGCGCAGGTGACCGTTGCAGGGTACTACCCAATTGGATGGGTGACACGTCCTGGGAGGATAGACACACCACCATCTGTCGAGAGACGCGGGTACAGTCTGTCGAATGGGCAGGGACTGCGCCGTCAATCAAGAGACGTGGCGTAGTCTGACGGGTACGGTCTTGTTAGATAGAAGCTTCATGAGAGCATCGCGTTGCTTAGTCGCGAGTTATCTTGTCGCGAGCTACTTTGTAACGAGCTCCCAGGGGTGTTTCGAGGTGACTCTCATCGATAGTCTTTGGGGCAGTTCTTCTGCCCAAGTGTCGGAACGAGCTGGTTACCCTAGCTCGCGAGTAGAGATAGTCTTGGAGTATTCCCTTTCAGTAGCTCGGGGGACCTCGAGCTCGCGTTGTAGCGAGCTCCCCCCATAGCAAACTATGACGTAGCGAGCTGTCCTGCGGGCTCGTTACTTAATCGCAGTCAGGTTGTGGTGCTCAGCTATTGCTTGTGTTGAATCAGGTCCATGTGTCATTGTCTCAAGGGGTTGGGTCAAATCAACCTCCATCAAGTATGATGCTTGAAAAACTTTAATCAATAAATGTTTATCATTTTCTGATTATGCTCGGACTCTTAGAATACATACAAGTATGTATGTATTTGAAAAATGATCTTATTTTGCCACAGCCACAACCACATGATATGAAGTTGACATAGGGTAAAGAGTTGATGTGGCTAAATAAGTGGGCCCATTTTTTTGTTGCTACATGACCCCACCCCAAAAAATTCTTCTGTATTGCAATAAAAGAATACTATTTTTCGTGCTTTCTTTTTAGCCCAACTAACAAACCACGAAATCTAGCAAAAGTAGAGGCACAAACAATGGGGGTGTAATCGAATTGATTCGAGCCAAATTTGGTCATGTGTTGGTTCGGTTCGATAAACTACTGTGTTCAAATTTTGGTGGAAACGTGTGATGTGAGTTGAGGTGTCGGAATCATGGAATTGGAAAAATCCGAGTCTGGGATCTCCTCCAAAAAAAAAAAACTGTTCCAACATATGTCCCCACATCTCAGTTATGGTGAGAGGTGTGGCATATATTGGTTTGGAAGCGTGTCCATTGATTCAGGATTTAATTTTCACAGAATACTCCTCATGAGTTCAGATATGTTTATTACATATGCTTCAAAAAACTGCCCCAACAAGTCATTACAGTGACATGTGGGGATCATCCCCCCCTATCAGTGGACGTAGAGCTTAACATGTCATTACAGTAGCCCATTGTGAATATCTCCCCTTATTTTGCCGTAGTGAAGGGCTTACAATGCAAAACTTTGGCAATATTTGAGTATAAATTTTAATTTTTTTTTTTGTTTTAAACTTTAGCTTACTTTGTTTGAATGCAGTGCAAATTAAGTAAATTAAAATGACATTAAATGAAAATTTATATTTTTTTTTTCATTTCCACTCCCATATGCATTTGTACAAGTACAAATAAATTTGTACTGCAACTAAACGCAGCATCCATTGTATTGATAGCAGATCTCTGCTTCTTCTTCACACCTCATAATAAATTGCAGCCGCACATCAGGAATAACTGCATATGTTTTCATTGGTGGAAGATTTTCTCGATGCATGCCTGCAATTACTTGGGAGGTGGGTGTGAGGAAGAAATCCGGGCTACAATCTATCAGAAACTAAAAAAGAAATTTCTGATATCCAGTCTGTTTCTTTGAATACCCGGCCCCGGCCCATTGCAATCAAATAGTTTTCACCGAACTCTAAAACAGGTCCTTGTTTTTTTTTTTATTTTTTTGCTTCATAAAAAAGGTCCATCATCCATGCTTGTAAAAATTTCAAATTATTAAGCAAAGTGGTACATTGGTAATTCAAACAGCTTCAGAGTAGTTTAAGGGCTTTGGTAATCCAATCCAATCTCTTTATCTTGATTCTCTCCAACCTAATCAAAGAGATTACTACTGTAATCATCACTACTTTTTTTTTTCTTTTCTATTGATGTTTGACCAACAAAAGCATCGAAAATCAAAGATATTTTTTTTTTGGGTTTTTAAAATCCAAGATAAAAAACCCACAAAAGTTCTCAGTTTTAAACGTTTTATTAGGTATCGCATTTTTTAAAATTAAGTTTCTGATAATCTGTCACCTTCAGAGCCATTTAAAGAAATCAAGAAAGACCCAAGAAACCTTCCACTTCCATGCTTCTCTTTTACTGTTTGAAAGGCATTCTCCTCATTACCTACCACTGATAACTCCACCCCTTCTTATTATTCCCCCAACCCTGAATTCCATGTCCCAGCACTTTCTGCACATTTCTTCAGCAAAGGGAGGGGATTATAGTTGTTGTTTTAGAGGGTTAGGGTTTTCAAAGAGGGGGAGGTGTGGTGCCAGAAAGGTCCATTTGAGCTTAGATTCAAGTTGCCATTTGCTTACCAGGGAAAACCCAGGAAGCAAATCCTGTCCAACTGGGCGTATATCTGGTGTTTGGACAATGGGGTTGATTTGGGTTTGTTGGATTCGGTTTATTTCAGCATGGGGTGTTCTTTGATTGGAGATCTAGGGTTAATCTTTGGTTCTTTGGCATCGGGGAAAGGTGTCGAGAAGGCGGTTCAGAGATCTGGGCTGTGAAATCTGCTTCGTGAATCTCTTCATAGGTACGAGAATGAGATTTCATTGAAAAGATGAAAATTTTGTTTTGTTCTGTTTTTGTTTTTTCTATTCGTTTTTCCCCTTTGTACTGCATTTTTTGGGCGAGGGAGTCTTTGTCACTAGAGATTAAAATGGGTTATGTTGAGTCTGTTATTAGTACGAGAATGAAGAAATAAATATATAATACTTATGAATTGGGTTGCTTACTGTGGTCATCTTGTTTATGCTGGTGAAAGGAGGGTTTTGAAAACTTGAAACTCTCTTGTTTTATGTTGTTTGTTTCCCCCCTTTTCTTGGTTGTGTTATTTGATCACATTTGTCTGTTGAAATGGGCCTGTTCGTGCTCTAGTTATATTCTCTCTCTCTCTCTCTCTCTCTCTCTCTATATATATATATATATATATATATAAATTTTCCTTTTTCCCTCTCTTCTCCCTCCTAGTTTGTAATATATTATGCATCATTGTTTTTCACTTTTTTTTATTGCTGGGTTTCTTGTTTTTCTGAGAAAACATTGAACCATTTTCTATTTTTCATCTATTTATATTCAACAATTTGGTTGGACTTCAGACTTGACAAAAAAATTTCAGTAATTCCATTAGTTTTATAATGTCCGAGAAATGCTAGTTTCAAAAAACAAAACAAAATGTATCTTAGTCTATTGAAGGTGTTTCAGAATTGAGCTTGAAATTGGAAAGATGCAGTAGTAACGTCTAGACAATGTTGTGTTTGTAGAAAAAAAAACTAAAAATATATGTCAAAGCTAAGGCTTCCACACTCGGACTGGAATGTGAATTATCTTGTCATGTTTTGCAGGCATCTTCATCTGAAAAAATGGCCACAGATCTCAACGCTGAGTTATCCAAGAAAACAGGTGTATTGGGCCTCAAGGTGTGGGTTTTGATTGGGATATGTGTCATGCTGTCTATTGTAATCATTCTCACTGTGATGGTCATATGTCTTTTTTCACGGAGGAGGTCAAGAAGGTCTAATGACAATCTTCCGCTTAGCCAAATCCCTGCAGTTTCTAAGGAAATCAAAGAAGTGAGGGTTGACCAAGTATCAACAAATGATTTCCGTCCTCGTGATGGGTTTCTTCTCACAATTCATGACAAGTCCAGTGACAAAGAGTCGGACAGGGTTATGGTTCATTTGGGTATGGGCAAAACAAGGAATGGGGATAATACCAGCCAATCAGGTTCATTTCATCATATGGACAAAGATGATGTTGGTTCTCAGTCTGGAGAAGAGGGGAGTTCTGGGACGGTTACTGTATACAGGTCATCTTCTTCACACCCTATCACTGCTCCATCACCTTTAGTTGGCCTGCCTGAATTTTCTCACCTTGGTTGGGGTCACTGGTTTACTTTGAGGGACCTGGAACTTGCTACAAACAGGTTTTCAAAAGAAAATGTCATTGGAGAGGGTGGGTATGGAGTTGTTTATCGTGGTCATCTGATCAATGGGACACCAGTGGCAGTTAAAAAGCTCCTCAACAATTTGTAAGTTCACAAAAATGATCTTTTACCCTAAGCAACTATGTTTGTTTATTCTTTCTTCTCTCAGTTTCTTGGTGCACCGCATATAACTGCTTGAATTCTTTTCTTATAGAGGCCAAGCAGAAAAAGAATTTAGTGTGGAAGTTGAGGCCATCGGTCATGTGCGCCACAAAAACTTAGTTCGACTGCTAGGGTACTGCATTGAAGGCACACACAGGTAGAAGATCCTTTATTTTTCCACCTTATACAATGTTTCTTGTGGGTCTTTGCTACTATCTTTTGTGCTCAAGTAGTTGACTGTTTGTATATTTATAGTTGTATATGTTTACTAATTACCATGCAGTATTTATAGTTAGGATAAGGCTTGGATGATAATGATAATGATAATGATAAAACGTTCACTCCTCAAATGCCTTCTTTTGGTTGTATATCAGAAGCCTTTCTACACCCTTTATAATTAATATTTTATAAGTAAGCGACTCTTATAATTTAACAAAAATTTAAGCAACCAACTTGATTCCATGATTCAAAACCAATATTCTCTGGTATCTACAAATCAAATAATGTTTTTAGGGAGGAATACTATGCACCTATCTGCTTGTCCATGCATCCATCTTTCTATGCACACACACATTGTCCTCAATACCAAAGCATAGGAAGAGAAGAAAGAAGTCTCCTGTTCTTCCATTACCCACAAATTCCTCCACCGTTTTCTCATGTCTCACTCAAGTTGGTTTGGGTTGCATGAACATAAACCGTTCTTTTTCCTTCATTATTGCAGTTTTCATTGCATTTGCCCAAGCCAAAACCCAAGTTCCTAAGTTTGCTTTCTTTCATTTTGAAAATGGGTTAAGTAGTTGGAGTGTTTAAAAAATAAAGAAGGGCCATTACCCAGTTTTGGTCCCTGCTATCTGGGGTCTTGGGGTGGGGGACAAGAAATGGAACTAACCTTTGGCATTTTTTTGCACAAAGTGGCCTTTGGAGAGTAAAAAATAAATTAGCTAATTAAATTCATCAAACACAAAAAAATAATTTAACTAATTAAAGAAAGATGTTTTTCTTTTAATTGTAAAGGGAGACTTGTTCCAGAGGAAAAACACTTCAAAATTTTCTTTTTCATGGTTGGCATGATGCACAGAGAAGATCTAATCCGCAACAAGAAAAAAAAAACATATATAAAATTATCTAAGAACTATTGGTAAAAATATTTTAAGAACTTATAGAATCTCTTTTCAACTTCGTATTAGGTTATTAGAGGGTTTACTTCTACTTGTATGATCCCTTGTTCACTCTGATTATTAATTAATGAAAAGGGTTCTAGTGGTTCAGATTTTAGGTTTTGCTTCACATATTTTTTCGATAGTTGGGGCTTTTCTTCACGTTTAGTATCAATGTTCAGGATGTTGGTCTACGAATATGTCAACAATGGGAATCTGGAGCAATGGCTTCATGGGGCTATGCGTCAGCATGGATATCTTACTTGGGAGGCCAGGATGAAGGTTCTTCTTGGCACTGCCAAGGCGTAAGTTGATTCAATAGTATCTGAAATTTTGAGTTTCCCTTTCTAGATTTCCCTTTTGTAAACATCCTATTTTTTGTTGCAGGCTTGCATACTTGCATGAAGCTATTGAGCCAAAAGTGGTGCACAGAGACATCAAATCTAGCAACATATTGATCGATGATGATTTCAATCCAAAGGTATCCGACTTTGGTCTAGCTAAGTTGCTGGGTGCAGGGAAAAGTCATATTACCACTCGAGTGATGGGAACTTTTGGGTAATTAAATTTCTATATACATCCAGTCCTCTCTCTCTCTCTCTGTTTGTGCATTCTTGTTTCTGATTTTTAATATTTTTGATCAGTTCCATTGAGTAAGGGCATGAGTTTTCCCTTTTATTTACTTCTGTTTGAACTTTGAATTATCAATGGGAAATTTTAAATGCTCTTGGTGGAGTAATAGTCATCCTTTGTTTTGTTTTTCAAAACTTTTAGGTATGTGGCTCCAGAATATGCAAATACTGGTCTTTTGAATGAAAAGAGTGATGTTTATAGCTTTGGAGTTGTCCTGTTGGAAGCAATTACCGGAAGAGATCCTGTGGACTATAGTCGGCCAGCCAATGAGGTCAGCAGAAGTTGCTCTTGAAACAATATACTTGGCAGTGCTGCAAAACAGCAAAAATAGTGCTACTGGATTTTATATTATAAAGTAATCATATATGGATATTTCTATCATGGAGGTCTACTGCTATATGATACGCATCAGTATTACCATCCGAAATTGTTGCATATTTCCTTTTTCCTCTGGAACCATGAAGAGTCTGATTTCTAGAATTTTCCTATGATTTCAATTATTTAACTAAGTCTACTGAATTCAACAACTTGTTGTTTTCCTATACAATGCCGTTCTGTATTCATTCTATTTCCTTATTAACTGATTTCAAGAATTTCTAGATGACTTAACTCTCAGATGCAAGAATATGTTATGTTGGCTTCCCTTGTTGCTCAAATTAGTTCCATTTACTACATTCATTTCTCATCTTTAACTATGTTGGCTTCCCTTGTTGCTGCTTTCTTGTGCTTAGCTGCATGTAGAATCATAGTTGTGAACTTAATAATGGCTTTGCTCTTTTTGACAAATAAGCTATGACAGCAAAGGAAGACAATGGATAAGATATAATAACATGAAATTGATGAGAACAGGTTAACCAAGTTGCTGTTTGAATCTCAGTTATTCATGAGACCAAGAGAACTTGAGTTATGAACTCCGAAATGGAGTTTGAATCTAATTGAGCACCTGGCTAATTGTGTAGAATACTTGGAAGCATATGCTTGACCAAGAGAATTTGAATTTAGTTATAAGCTCCAAAATGCCAGAGTATGAGTCTGATTGAGCACCTGACTAATTGATTCGAATATTCAAGTTTTGTAGAGGCTCGAGTTGTAAACATTCTATTTTTTCATCTCTCTATTTGTAGAAGCTTGAGTTTTACATAATCTTGCATGCTTTTTGTATGTCCTCTATTATCATACCCTTACCTACAGCCTTATTAATTACTCCTGATATATATCTGGTTCTAAACTCTCACAAGTATGGACATCTCATTATTAGAATTCTTTCAGTCATTAAACGTGTTATGGTTGTTCTTGCAGGTAAATATGGTTGACTGGCTCAAAATGATGGTTGGCAGCAGGCGTTCAGAAGAAGTGGTGGACCCAAACATTGAGACAAGGCCTTCGACAAGAGCCTTGAAAAGAGCTCTTCTGACTGCTTTGAGATGTGTTGACCCTGACTCAGACAAGAGACCAAAGATGGGCCAAGTTGCCCGCATGCTCGAGTCAGAGGAGTATCCCATACCCAGAGAGGTTTGATTCTGACATCATATCTCAAATGCCAACATGATTATGTTTCACAAAGCTTTTATAAAATGAATTTATTAGAAGTTATCTTTAGGCAGCTTTCATAGAATGAACCAAGTCTTTCACTCTTTATCAATGTTCCGAGAACTGGACCAGGCATAGGACCTGAAAAGGGAGAGGTTTACAGGTCAGAGGTTCAACTGGGGTAAAACCAGAGGTCGAGCCGTGATGACATGACATATATATACTTTTATCAAACTTAAATATGGTGGATGGATGGCAAGTTCTTTAATTTTTAAAGCAAATGACTAGGGTTCAAGTCTTAATTCACATTTTCTTTAAAATACGTTGCAATACAGTAATATATACAATCAAGTCATTAATTAACACGAATAAAGAAGTGGATTAATGGTAATTAAACAATACTTGAAAATAAGAAGTTATGGGTTCAAATGTTGTCATGCATGTTTTGAAATTTCAATTATTTAATGATCTGGGTGGTTACATGAAGCCGGGATTGGTTCACCGGTTTTCTAGTGGAACAGGCTGGTCAGCCAATTTTCACTGGATTTTTAAGAATTCCGATTCTTGGGGTGAGACCGAACTGGCCAAGGCCTGCTCGTGGTTCAACTGGTCTGATTGGATGGTTTGGTTTGGTTTCCTAAACACTGCTCTTTATAGTGAAATGTGCATTTATTTGATAAAAAAGATGAAACCCCAATAACATTGATTACTCCTAGTTAAAAGAAGACATGCAGCCTCTTGGGCTAAAATCAATTACGTTGGCTCATTGGAGGGTTAAAGGAAAAGGGGTCCACAAATAAAACGTTTCTTCTATTCCTTCTATAAGTCAATGTTAACCCTCTTCCCTATCCTTGTGCACGTAATGGTGATACCTAAAAATTAGTTTCCATCTGAAAATGTCTTTTAAATATTTCTTGCTTGTCATTTCCGAAATAATGAAATCTAATTTTACTAATCCTGCATATGAGGAAAGTTAAATAATAGTATTACGGATAGAGGTGAGGCTCATACAAAGGAGTGGGCTCTGTCATTTGTTTTATTGGCAAGAACATCCACGGTAAAAAAATAGAAGAAATCACATAGCACCAGGGATATCTTCCAACTTCCAAGAGACCCATCAAAATGATGGTTCTCACTCAAAATCTTCACTGCATTGGTTATGCTAGAATTGAAGTAGTCATTTCTGTGATATTTTAGCTGAGATTCTAATTGATAAGGAATTTGAAAAATTTCAGGATCGAAGGCACCGGAGGAGTCAAGCAGGGAGCATGGAGATTGAATGCCAGAGGGAGAACTCTGACACGGACAAGAGTGACAATCCTGATTTGAGAGTGGAAAGCAGAAGAAACCACAGGACTTAATTTAACATGAAGGCGATTTAGTCAATCCTAGAAATATAGAGTTATTCTTAAATTCTTTCAGCCAACTGCATTCTTGAGTCTGCCTACTTGACACCAGATCGAAGGGTGACAAGGCGCAGCTGTGCAGCCTTGCACCGGGTGGTGGGGAAGCAGGGTAGAGGCTCATTAGTGTCTTTTGGGTTTTTCTTGTTTCTTGTAGATGATGGTGAGGATTATTTTGTGTATGAAAATGTTATAATGGAGAACCCAAACCACTGGTGGTGTGTACAGTTTAGTTTATCTGTAATTCTCGTTTATTTTTCATGAAATGTTTTTCTTGCTGCAAAAATGGAATTTTTATTAATTGAGGGAAGCACATGGGAGTTGGGCACCTGAAACACTGTAACATTTAATATGCTTTTCACTTGGGACTGTCAATGTTTTAGGCTTTTGGGTCGAGACTCGAGAGTTTGGACTTTGGCCCCAAGTCCCCAACTTGCCTTCCCTGCTTTGATGACACGCTATGACGGTTGGCTTTGTGCTTATCAGCCTGTATTGGCCCATACATATTATTCTGGGAGTTCTCCCATATGCCTTTACAGACTGTATCAGGGTTCTGACTGGTTCAGGGGGTGAAGCAGTCTTAAATCGCCCTCCCTGAACTGGTTAAAAAAAAATAAAAAAAAAAAAGTATCAATATTGCTCGATATACACCTATCAGTGTATCAGATGTATCGATATTTTGAATCTTACACTCTACTACTATTTCCAATCAGTTTGAATTTCGATATAGAAAATCCCTTGGGCGGAACTCACTTCATTTGTGGATTTGTGGGTTCTCACCCTCACTGTTACATGTTGAATGGTTCTTTCTAAGGTTTGTCATCGAGCAAAAAATCTCCCCATTTTTACTTGAACCATATGCAATGGTATCTAATATCTACACGATTACCGGGTTACTTGTATCTATAGATGAACTTAGACATGATAGTTTCTAACTAGGAGTAAATCCAGAAGTTCACGCTTGAGATTTTTTCTAGAAACTCGAAGGAGAAAGAAGAAATGAATTTTGATTGAAAATGTCTGGTATGCAGATTTCACAGTATAACTACCCAACTTGTTTCTCTTCCAAATCCTCCTTTAAATGCGTCATTAACCTGACAAATTAAAGTGTCCTTTAGATACCAAGTGTTTGCATGAAAGGCTCTATGGGGAGGACAGGAAGTAAGTTGAGACCAGGGAATAGAAATGCAGAGATATCATGCATTTTATGCAATCATGAAGTGGAGGCCTTTTCGCATCTATTTTTCAAGTGTGACTTTGCAAGAGCTGTTTGGTGCAAGGTTCAGAAAATCGACACGTATTGGGAGCACCCCTATACGCTCCTATAGAGGGTGTATCGGGGTTTTGACCGGTTTAGGGGGTGGAGTAACCTTAAACCGATCCCCATGAACCGGATTTGAAAAAAAGTTAAAAAAATAAAAAAAAAACAGTACCGACACTGTTTGATATGCCCCTACCGACGTATCAGACGTATCGATATTTAGAACCTTGGTTTGGTGTCAAACCCAAGTTGGTATAAACCCTAGTACAGTGAATGATGAATATCTACAACAACTTATTTCGGATTGGCTTCAGTCACTTAGGTAATCTTTTAATGCATATATCATACTATGCTTTCAGTCCAAATTTTAGGTACTTCTATATATGATCCGGGAGGCACGCAACAAGAAGTTTCATTGAACAAGGATGTAAATCCTGTCTCTTTTGTGGACAAAACAAATAAAATAATTGTTGATTCATGTCTCACTCTTTGTCATGACAAATTAAATGCATTATCCCTAAGCCCAATAACTGAGAACTATTATCTAGTATTCACTGATGGATCGTATGATCAACACATAGACAATGCAGGCATTGGTTTTGTCATCAAGCAATCTAGTGATAGGCAGATCATTGCAGCCCAAGGGTCAACTTGCAAAGCTTTGTGCAGTCATCAAGGGCTATAGCATTGCAATGCCAAACAGTGTGAGTTTTCTTGGATATTGAAATAATAGTAAAGAAGTTAAACCTTCTAGTAATGGAACATATATGGATCGGTCAAATGCATTTTAGGTGAAACTCACATCTCCAAAGTCAGTTTAGGGACTTAAAATTCATTTACATATCTAGAACTAAGAACGCACTAGCTCATCTTTTAGCTTTATTATGCTTGTAAATATCAAAGGCACTCTACTATGAATATGCTACCTCGCACAATTTCATTTACAATATAAATAACCACTCTTTTGCCTAAAAAAACACCATCTTTCGAAGGATACTCTTGTAAGAACATTTTGTGGGTAGGAAATCCGGTGTGGTTAAAAAATTAATGCATCTCCTATGCTTGGCGAGCAGTATGATCCACAAAGCTTTTCATGTGGGCTCCATTTTTCTTTCGAGGGGATTCTTTGGCTCTGTTTTGCCCTTGAAACGGAGTGGATTTATTTTTATGCACTTGGATCTTCAATCCAAAGGAATTGGGGTCGCATATCGGGACATCTCTCATATTGTCATTTCTAGAGAAATGTTCCCAGTGTACGGTTATAGTGTTTGTAGGGGGTATGGGTAGCAAATATGGACTCTAGTTCACTCTAGTCACGCAAATTAAGGTTACATTTGATAATGCTAGACGTTTATTGCTTTGATGCTTTCAGTATGTACCATCTGTTTGTGTTTAGATTTGAATACAAACTCTGATAAGGTTATGTTTGAAATGGTAAGACATGGTTTAGTCGCTTAACGCAACCAGACCCATTTTGGCCAAAGCCTTAATGGCCCCAAAACTTTTTGAAATGGCTTGTGTTGCCCTTTCTTTTAAACCTAATTCAAGCCCTGATTTGAGTTTTTTCCTCTAGTACAATAGAAGGGAATGGTCTTCTACTATTGTCGTTTGCATTGCATCTTCAGCAATGAGCATTGTTTTGGTCTTGTTCACAGTAAGATATAGTGTTCTGTTATGTGTAGATGGTCCCCGTTCACAAAATAGCGTGGACAGGGATATGCCACACCCCAATTTATCATATGCAATACTTTCTCGTGGTTGGTTCACACTATGGTGTGGACAGTTTGTGGGAAGGTTTCAGTGTAGTGCACATGCGTTATGTTGGTCTAATTACTCTCACTTTATTTAATTTTTTAATAATTTTTAATTTTTAATATTTTATCAATAAAATAATAATTTTTAAGGTTTATTCTAGCACAAGTCTAACGTTTCTCCTTCTCAACTCTTTGTTCATTATTTAAATATTAATGTTTAATATTTTTATCAATAAAATAATATTTAAAATAATAATTTTTTATTTTTTAATATTTAATTATTTTACAAAATGCAATTGTTGTCTACATATTGATGCCTTTTTTTCAATTTATTTACCATATAAAATGAAAAAAATTAGACATTTATGATAGACTAGTAGATCTCCCATAAAATGTATATGAGATGCATGGAATCAAAAAGTGTGGTATAGACTACACCAGTCCAGTCCACACAATCTATCCACAGTTCAGAACAGTTATGGACTGTGATGTAGTGTGGATTAATCTCTACCACAATGTGTGGTATAAACCAATCCACACCCATCAATTTATCATCCACACAAATAAAGGAAAGGGAGAGAGAGAGAGAGAGGCTGCTCGCAAGTTGGGGTTCTCCTTGATGATTCAAGTCTGGGTTCCAATGGAGGGCAAAATAGTGAAATAAACAGTTATTGTTGGCACAACGCCAACACAAATGCACTTATTTTCAGAGGCTCTGAAAAGCAAACATCAGACTTCAAAACCATCGAACGCCACTTAAAAAATTTCACATTTGTATTAGAGTCCGAACCTAATGCCCACAAAACAATACTATCTTACAAGCCCACACACAAGACACTACAACGAAACCTGCTCGTCACGCCCATGTGTCCATGACACTTGCATAGTTGCATATTCTCAATTGTAATTCATGAGGATATGTTCCCTATTCACGGCTTTGGTGTCTGGATTCGTGTGGGTAGACTGTAATGTATGATTTCACCTATAAAAGATATTTCCCCATAAAAAAGAAAGTTAAAATTTTCCCACACAAATATCTCGATTATTATTCCTACCTCTTTGTAGTGTAAAATTTGTTCTCCACCTGATTTTATATGAAGTTTAACACAAGTATAACTCAAGTAATTTAAGAGCCTTGAATATCATGCAGTTAAATTGGTCTTAGAGCCTCGTTCAAAAAAAAAACAACAACAACAACCAAACTTAAAAATAGGGTGATTTTACTTACAGGCGAATCCTGGCTGGCTAGCACCACGTGGCCAGTGCTCATGGAATCCATAAAGTACTAAAGGACAGGACGTGACCCCTGGTAATCCTCTGTGATTTCCTATGTTTTGTCCTCTTGTTGTGATTTCCTAATATTGCTATATTTGCTCGTCATGTGAAAAGGAGGTCATTTGGAAAGACATTTGCACCATTACTCAAAATAGAAAAAAAAAATGGAAATACATTTGCACCAAATTTTGTCACTACTTAAGTTGCCATTTCCATTAAAGGATCTACGAACAGATCCCACATGCCATGTAAATTTCAAACCCAACAAGCCTTTTTATCATTTATCGTTTAAATAATTACAGTGTATGGAATATTGGTAAAATCTACAACCACGCAGTTACAAAAACAATGAATGAAAGAGATTGAGAATTCACAAATTTGGGCTTTCACCGGGTGGTCCAGAACGAGCATTTAACAGAGGCTGGAGCGCTTTGACCACTATGCTCATGTTGGGTCTAAAATCAGCTTCATATTGCACGCATAAGGCTGCTACAGCGGCCATCTGTTTCCAATTTAAGATGGGATTACAAAATGCTAGATACATGTATAAACATAGATTATTGCATTTACCTATTTCTGGGTAATATAAAGTATAAACATATCATGAAATTGAAGCGATAGGGAAATGGAATACTGCCACTAATTTTTCAAGTTTTACTCTTCCTCAGTACTCAGTTTACTAAATTTGGGTAAAAACACATGTAAATGGATATGATAAAAGTCCCATTTAGTAATCCATTTACCATATTACGTTGTTTAATGTTATAAATACTAGTTAAAAGAAAAGGACGAAGAAGATTCTTACCTTAGCAACAGCCTTGGGAGGGTAGTCTCCTCCTAGCCTTGCATCAACGCATTGTTTCACCTTATCTTCACTAAGTCTTGGTGTGGCCTGATATATATTCAGGATTTCCAGGTATCAGCATAGTAACAGAGAGAAAAAAGACAACTTTTAATGCCAATGTCATGAAAAATCAATGCATGTCACAAGACTCCAAAGTTCATACCCATGTCACAAGACTCTGTTGTCCTCGTGGCAATGTATGATCAACAGGCTTACGCCCAGTCAAGAGCTCCAGCAGAACGACACCAAAGCTGTAAACATCACTCTTTGAACTGAGCTGTCCAGTCATTGCATATCTGTCATCCACAATGGAAGATTATAGGTAGCTGTAACAGTTTTTAGAGTACATTGTCTTGAACCATGTCTTTACTGAGAAGATAGTAGATAACTAAGCCATGTCCCAATCATTTAAGGTTTGTCCACATGATAGCAAATACGTAGTTGTAAGAGAACTCAGGTAACCAAGTTGTAAGGTGGTGGTTTATCTAATTCCTTTTTTTTTTAATCATTAACAAGACAATAAATTGTACTTATTTCCAGGAGAGAACCAAATACAACCTTTACCCCCCTTCCAATGACAATNGGACCACAGTGTATAGACTTATACTGCTCACGTGCAGTGAATGGGACCTCCCATCCTTTTGGTAGGTAGAATTTTGAGCAGTTGACCAGGATCATGTAATAATTGGTCTTTGGTCTTTTCTTTCTGAGGTCCAAATCACCACAAAATGTTTTGTTTCAGTTGTAACACAACGGCATTGCATATTTAGATGGTTTGAACAATAGCAGTGAAGTTTTGGCATTTGATATCTCCTAGGTGAGTCCCCAGCCTGGCCATCATGCATGCCACTTTATTGCTGATAGGACATAATATGAGCCATACAACGAGCACCTTGTGCTTTCCAAATTTTCCATATAGAAATAAGCAGATGTGTATCTGTTTATAAGCCAGGAAGGATCTTACTCTGGAGCATGATAACCAAAAGTTCCAAGAACACGTGTGGAATGAAGACGTGCTGCCATGTCAGGGGCTTGGTTTGATAAATCAAAGTCGGCGATCTTAGCAACATCGTCATCAAAAAGTAAAACATTGCTGGACTTAATATCACGATGGATTATATGAGGCTGGGCTTTTTCATGCAAGTACTCAAGTCCTTTTGCAGCCCCTACAGCAATTTTTACTCGCTGTGCCCATGATAGAACTGGTCCTGGTTGTGCTCCCTTTACACCTTTTCGCCCTACATCAATAAATCACACATAGAATTGTTTGCATCACCAAGGAGATGAATTGAAAACAAGATTTACATATGACACAGAACCTTGGGGTAGTAATCCAAGGGCACTAACTGAAAAGTTATGTATCTGAAATAAATTTGATATTTTTAAAATCTATGTGAGATCCATGAATAATATTTGAACTAAACAGAAACAAATGATCATTGAATAACAAAATTCATCAAATCAAGAAGATGAAGCGATATTCTGTTGTTTTAGGAGTTTTTCTGAGTTTGAACACTGATTTTGTTTGACTATGCTTTTTGATGGATAGCATGGAACTTTTTAAGGAAAAAAATATTTCTGGTACTAAAACGTGAAAAAGGAAAGAAGCCTCCAACTGATCCTCCCTGATAATATGGGGCAATATCCAAGTAATGGTGGAACAGAGTGTTGGGCAGTTAAGAAACAGCACATTAAAAAAATGAGTGTCGCAGAATTGTGAATGCTTAGACGGATGAATAGACAAGTAGCAAAACTAGGAAGGATAGGGTTAGAAATGAAGTCATACAAAGTAACATAGGAATAGCTCCAATAGGTGATAAAATGAGAGAAAGTAGATTGAGATGGTGTAGGTCATGTGCATAGAAGACCATCTACAGGACCTGTTAGAAAAAGTGATTTGTTAAAGAAAGGGCTAGAAGAGATAGGGCCAGACCAAAAAGGACTTAGGTGGATGTCATAATAAATGATTTAAGTGCCCATAATTTAATAATGGATATGGCATTGAGTAGAAAGGGACAGAAAGCAAGATTCATGTAGCCGACCCCATATAGATAGGACAAGGCTTAGATGATGATAATGATCCAAGTAATCTTGTGTCTACTCCTCTTACATTTGCGTTGCTTGATGCAACAAAAACAAATAACAGGCAGAATGTATGATAAATGATAACCCGAGTGTCAACAAAATTTAATTACAACATTACTGAGAAACTTTCAAATTATAGCAATACCATGTATCTCTATGAGACTAAAAGCTCATAATTCATTCATGAATTGAAAATATGCCATTTATCATTGGTCTCACAGTATCAGGGTGCTAACAGAAAGTCACAAACTATATTTGGAATTCAGAATGAGAAACTCCATTGGGATGGTTTTGTGTAAGATTAAAGACTTGAGTTTTTGGACATTCATCCAATGTTTTCAAAACAAGCAATTTGTTGCACCAAAAAGGGGGTTCAGTCAAAGCCATGAATATCTGGATTGATTTATCTGACTTGTGGTATCAACATAACATCATAAATGTAAGTGATTAGAAAATAGATATCAACAGAATAAAGAAAACTCGTTTCCTTTATTTGTGAAGCCTGCTCTCGAAAATTGCTCCTTTGCATGCTCTATTTGTCCAAAATTCGGTCAGTTTGAGCTGAGAGTGAAAAATCTCTCATTCCTGGAAGGCTGGCTTTATGCCTCATGTTAAATAGTCTGGATGCTCTGCCTCACGCATTTGCACGTCAAAAAAGGATTTAGGCTTTTGGCTGAATATTATTAAAATGTAAGATTACATACCATGAAGAATATCATGAAGAGATCCCATGGTAGCAAATTCATATGAAAGGACACGGAGACTTCCATCAACACAATAACCAAGCAGCTCAACAACATTCTCATGCTTCAACCTTGATACCATGGAAACCTGTAAAGTCATATCAAAATGATGAACTATAAGTAAAAATATGCATATAACATGCCAACAATACTAATGTAGGCAAAGAAGCCCAACCTGCGCTAAAAATTCTTGATCTGGCTGCTTACTAGCATCTAACTTTTTGATGGCAGCAGCCCTTCCATCTTTCAAAAGGCCATAATATACTCTTCCATATGAGCCCTCTCCTATTAAAGATTTTGTCCCAAAGTTGTCGGTCACTTCCTTCAGTTCATCCACTGAAATGGCAGGAACTTCAATAGGCTGGACTTTTACAGGCTGAGTACCTTTGGGTGCTACTTCAGTGGCAGGATAACCTCCACCATTGCCTGCAATTTGTATGAACTTCTCCTCAATCTCATGTTGATGAAATATAAACATACAACCATAACTCTAGGATCTGTAATAACTATAACAAAGAATACTTTTATGCATTGGTTTCTAAGATATAAATAGATTTGAAGCATGAATCTAAGTATTCATTCAAGAAATTACTTAAACAAGCAACTATTATTACAAAATTATATATCAAATAAAGAGCCAAAATTTTTTGATATAGAACATGGAGCTTATATTTTCAGTTTCGTGATTAGCATCGGAAACAAATTTCCCCTTCCAGCATCTATCCAAAAGAAAAAAAAATGACATTTTAAGCTTAAATATCTGGAAATAAAAACTCTTTGCAAAATGAATCAAGGCAAAGAAACATAACTTACACAAAGTAGAATTGTTTGCCACAAATGAGCATCATAAACTACAGGTTAGGCATGGCGGATTACCTGCTGAATTGTTTGCCACAAATGGGGCTCCACTATCTGCAGTTTTGCGAACATCATCATCTTCACAACAGAAGAAGCAGCTCATGGTTCTTTCTCTTTAGTCAGACGCCCTTTCTAAGCTAACAAATTTTCAGTTTGGATTAGCAAGGGAAACATTCCAAAGAACAAAAACGAAGTCATAACTCATAAGACCAAGAAATATAGCAGGCCATTCATGGGGAAAAGGTAAACATTGTTGAGACTATTCAAGAATATATTGCCATGGATTAACTTAAAAGGTGAAGAGGCATTTAATTTAGCATTTTTTAAGAAAATGCTGCAAACTAATACGGCTTCCCTAGGAACAGATCGGTGCAAAGTTTGCAGGAAAGCTCACAGCTTATTTATGATTTTAATTTTTTTCCTTCCATGCCAAATAACCGATGCTGACATCCATATCAACGTGCAGGAAAAACATAACTAATAGTTCCAATAAAAAGGTCATACTTCACACTCGTGTTGCTTGGGCAATTAGTAATCTGAAATGTGGTATTGCGTAATACTCCAAATGAGGAAAGAGATAGTATAAAGCTTATATTGATTATTATAATTTTCATTCCTGTCCAAGAACCTAAATTATGTTCTTAAACCAAATTCAAACGATATATGATATTCTTTGTCGGAAATAACCAAAGATTATATACCAAAACATGGTAGACACAAAATTCTAATGGAGCAAAAATTAGATTTATGGAATGTTAACTCAAATAATATGATTATGATTCCACAATCGAATTGGATGGCTTAACTGACCACCAAACAGTTAGCATCTAACCAACCCGGTCCATCTATCCTATCCCATATCCAGATCAAAGCTATTCAACCAACAATAAGAATAGTCAAAATCAAAAAGAAAAACAGAAGCGGTAAAGATGGGGAAATAATAGACGGTTAATTAATCAACAAAACACAAGAAATAAAAAACAACAATATCTACTGCAGCAATACATGAAGAACCAGAAGAAGGGTTATCTTTGCACTAATTTCCGTAAACTGAAAGGGAAGCTTATTATGAATTTTAAGTCAATATACAGTTTTTTTTTCTTCTCAATGCAAGTCTAAGAGAATATTTGAAGAAACCTGATTGAATATATAATAACTAAAGAGTTCCTCGAGATCGATTATCGATCTGAACCTTAAACTTTAGGGCTTCCAAGAAACAAGTTCGAAATTGTAGGGGAAAAACGAAAAAAAAAAAAACACACCTTTTCTCGACAATTTTTATCTTTTACGCTCTAGATTTCAGCGTTTCAAAACCACTTTCCAATTCCCACAGAGAGAGTGATAGAGCTATAACTTTCGTGTTCTGGGAGCAGTTCAGTCTGAGCTCTGAGGATCCGGAGCCGGCCAGCAACTGCACAACTGCACAAGAGAGGCGAACAGGCGAAGGGAAGGGCGCGCAGGATAGCGCATGCTACAGAAGCGGTGGTGTGTCCGAGATTCCTTGATTTATGCCAGAAGAGACTGAATATTTTTATATTATTATTTCCTCCTTTTCGTTGCGTTTGAGTTCGCTGGACTTGACTGGACTATATAATTAAACCACGTGGCATTGCTGTCAGAGTAATTACTATGTCTTATTAACTTCCTCTCTTTACCGAGTAATGTTTTCGGTGAGGTAGAACTGTACAAGATGGATGCTTACGAGTTACGACTTACGAGGAGTAATGACCGCGACATTCGACGGTACTCACTAACCATTTGACCACCGGAATCTTTTTAACTGATGTCGGACTTTTGACTGCTTGCTAATGAAAAATTTGATTTAGAACGGGTTTTCGGATTCATAACTTATACGGATATGGATAGGGTGAGCATCGGTGGTTTGTTTTGATTGTAGGGGTTGTTTTCAGGTTTTTGGAATCGGAAACCTATACTATGAAGGTTGGTTATCCCGGTGTATTCATAAAACCAATTCTTCTCTTATTATCTCCTTTAAAGAATGAAATATATTCTTTAAAACATATTTTTAATAAATATAATATATAGTTGAAAACTTATATTATATTTATTGATAAAATTGGGTAATTTAATATATAAATTATTATGATATATTAATGTATGGTTCAAAACTTATCAAGTTTGTAAAAAAAACAACTTTTACATTACTTATTATAAATATTCAAATATTAAAATGAAAATAAATTATCAGATCAATTAAATAACTCCATAGTCAAGTGAGATCATGGCTTTTATAATAATGAGTGTTTGGGTTTAAATCTTTACATTCTCAAAAGCATTTTGGGGTTTATTTCAATGTAAGTTCAATTCCAAGGCCAATTCCACCTAGGCTAATTAAGGTCGACTCATCAAGTTGGTTCGAGTAGGATAAACCCTTAGACCCTAGAACCGGCTTGGGTGGGGATTGGTTCCAATAATTTGGAACCTCTTGAAACCAAACCCTACCTTATAACAAAATGGATATGATCAATTCAAGATTGGTCCGAGGTCGATTCCATTTGATTTCGGATATAATCTATCCATTTGCTCACCCCTAGATATGGATAGAGGCAAGACACAACATTATTTTTAAATTCAACCCTCCATGTGGCATGCTTTTGGAAGGCATATGAGTAAGTATTGAATTTAATAATATTTTAAATTGTATGTGAATAATATAATAAATAGCTTATGCATTTTTTATATGCTTTAATCAAATAATTAGAAAATTTAATATTTATTCATGTTATTATACTTGTTTTATATTTTAAATATTACATTAAATAATAGGAAATTAGATGCGAATTTCAAACTTAACCTACTAATCCAATCTATCCCACTTTAAATGCAAGAAAGGTAGGATTGAGAAGGGTTTGGGGTTTTGCATTTTTATGTATGAGAAATGTTTGGATTCTCAAAATGAGATCACATATGTGCCCCAGAGAAGGCGCTCCACAAACGCCCCACATGCACGTCTTAGTGTGCATTGGGAACATCTCTTGAAATTGTCAATGAGAGATATTCCCAATACATGGTTGGGATATGTTGTAGGGTGCATATGTGAATTCTCTCAAAATTCAAATAACTAAGGGAATACAGGTGATACGCTTAGAAAGATAAGTAGGATCTAGGACTTACTAAATCCTCCCTCACCGGGCTAGTAGTGATACTAGAGCCAAGTTTGGGAGTGCTTATTTTTAATCACTTATTTACTAATAAGTACTTATTTGGAAGGGTGCATTTCACAAGCGTTTCATTTTTGCTGATATTTTGTTTCTCCCAATAAAACACTTTTGCAATTATTAGCTTTAGGATTCAGGAAAGAAGGGGTTTCTTGAAACGTCAAATTTTTTTTTTCTTGATTCAAATTCCTGAATCACCCTTATGATCGGTAATAAGGAAAAAAAAAACTAACTACTTTTTGAGATATCGCCCAATCAACCTGCATCCCTACTTTTTGTATTTCTTAAAAAAAAACTGGTGAAACAATTACTTGTAAACCGGGTCCCGTGAAACGAACCAATGCCAAGCATCACCTTAGAATCCTCTTAGCGTACCAGAAGATAGGGGCCTATTCATGCCACGGGATGTCAGCTTTGGCATGTGGGATCTACATGTACGAAGAAGATGTGGTGCGCGTGATTTGCCATTTGCCAATGTTACGCGTAGAACTGTAGATGGTTTGAATCCATCACCTGTTCGCCAACTTTCCTCTGACAAACGGAATTTGTGTACTACCACCAAATGTACCATTTTGTGCCTATCAAAAATTAGGAACGGGAACTGCTCCTCACACTTGGGCGCGTGTGAGGCGCCCGAGTAGCAGATCCGGTCTCCAAAAATTATAGCATTTTCAAAATTCCACGAACGAGGTGAAACTAGGAAAGTGCAACATCAAGCGCATTGATATCGAAGGTTCTAGTAAATTAGCAGCGACTGTTATGCCAGGTGGCAAAATTTACCCAATCAAAAGAGGGTTAGTGCCGTGCGTCAAATTAGTTTGAAAGGTCGATTTGGTCAAAACAGGATCAGATCAGAGGAAGATTAGTCAAAGCTCTAATAAGTGGATTCACGCCGTCTGAATTGACCAACCTGTGGTTCTTCTTCTTGTCTCGTTGCAGTTAAAACTCAAAAATCAGTATCCGTCCAAATCAAAAGCGCGTTTTGATAATTAAAATCATAAGCAACGCTGATTTCTGGCTGGTCTGGTGGTCACCACGGCGTTGGTGTTGTGACCATTCTCATATGTAATGAGTAATGAATAATAGTAACGCCAACGTTAGGCTTGCAAGCATGTTCAACTTGTAGAGAAAATGAGAAGGCATCGCCATGTAATGCATTTAAGGGTCTATTTCCATTTCACTTGCTGTTTGGTTGGATAGATTTGGAATCCTATGGAATGGCCATTCCCTCTCTCCCCTGGGAATGAAAATCAAATGGGTCCTTGTTTTCTCATTTTGAGAGGTCTTATAGGAGTATTCAAGACCTGAAGGATAAGATAGGGGTTCTTGGCCTTTTGAAGTAAAACCATTTTTAAAAAGAGCAATGGACTCTGATTCAATGATTCACTAAATGAGAGCAAATGCAGAAGACCCCTTACCTTCTTTGAATCATTTTTAATGTCTATAGAAACAGCCTCTCGCACATGCATTCCTAAAGTATGCCTATTTCAACCATAAATACCTCAAATAATAATTGTATGCCAATTTATATTTGTCAACCAAAAATGTTTTAAGTAGAAACATCAATGGTACCAAACACAAACTAAGATAATTTAAAAGTTTTTCATTTTAGTAGATTCTTTGATTTTAATTTTTCACATGTGTGAAACACGAGAGATGGGGAGACTGCAAATGAGGCTTGTGGCACTATAGATAGATAGATAGATATAGATATAGATATAGATGTAGATAAGCTAAAGGAAAGTGGAAACCAAACTAATGAAATGAAGCAAAACAGAAAAAGAAATAAATTGGGGGAATGCAATTATCAATGAACCGTATGGCACCGAAGATTTAAACGTGCATTGAACAACAAAAGTCTTATTTTACTGACAAATTAAAGGGGTGTTTGACAAGGGTCCGGATGTAGTAGGCACATCAAGTAAGCATAATGAGTGAGCACCTAATAGTTGTGTGACACTTATCCTAGCTAATGTGCTTTTCATCTAAACGTTTTTGTTCCGTTAGAATTAATAAGTAAAAAACGAAAAAGGGGAAATCGTAGAGGAGAAGAGACGTACCTGAATCAAAATTTTGGCCTGAGCAACGATGCTGCAAGAGACTTTTAATCCGATCCAATCTGGGACTGTTAGCACTCGACTGGTGATGATTTTCTTGGATTTCGATCGGGATAACCACCAGTTCGAACAACAAAGTTCACAGAGCAGGAGCTCGATTGATGATTAGAATGACTGAGCAACAACAGTGGGGTGATAAGAAGGAAACATATGGAAGTAAACGGGGCTGGAGAAGGTTGGGTTTTTGTTAAAATCGAATGGGGAATCTGAGAAGGACTGCATCACCATAAGTCATCTGTTCTTGTCGATGGGGAATAGCGGACATGGAGAACTGTGACTGTGGCTCATGGGAGGAGGAGGAAAAGAAAAATAAAAATAGAGAAGATAAGGGAAGAAAAGAATGAGGGAAAGAGATGGAGAGGATGAGAGAAGAGGGATCACCGGGGAGAAGCTCAAGGCGGCAGCCGCTGGTTCGCCTTTGGCTTCGGAGGGAGAAGACAATGAACAATAGAAGAAAAATAATAAAATAATAGATAATTCCTGTCTAACGGAACAAAAACGTTTAGATGAAAAGCACATTAGCTGGGACAGGTGTCACACAGCTATTAGATGCTCACTCATTGTGTTTACCTAGCGTGCCTACTACATCCGAACCCGGACCCGTTTGACAACATGATTGGTTTTATTTTTTAAAACAAAAGCAACTGCCACATGAACAAAATTATATAGTCTTTGCTGATATGGCAATTGTTGTTATTAAAAAAAATACCCTCTAAACTTTCAAGTTAAGAAAAGGATAACGAATTAATCACATTTCAGGCCATCTGATCTGAAGTTTTAAACTTGTGATTGTTGTGCATATGGGTCTGCAATTAGCAAATGGTGCATGTATTTGAAGAGCATCATGCTGGGCATCGGGCTCATCTAAATTTAACAGGTAACCAGCGCAGGCCCGGCCCATTCTCACCATAGCTCTAAAGTTTAAAGCTCACGTACAGAAACTAGAAAGGATATGAAATTATGCAAATGAATTACGAAACTCGAGCTGGAGTCACAAGGGATATTTTGCTTAGTGTGTCTTGGAAATGAAACATATGCTATTTTGAGGAATGCTAATCACACTGCGTCGACCTGCCCAAGCGTGGCCCCAAAATTTATAGGCCTGATGTGGGCTTGGGCTGTTCTGGATTGAAATGATCACTTATAAGCAAATTGCTTTTGGTTTATTAGATTAATGAGAAGAGGAGAGAGAATAAAATAAAATATATATATAAATGA